GCCGGGTCTGCCCGGGCCGCGGGGCGGGAGGCGGCGAGGAAGGAGCCGGCCCCGCAGAGAGGGAGCTCCCCGGCGTGCCCTGCTTGCAGGTCTGGTTCCAGAACCGCAGGGCCAAGGAGAAGAGGCTGAAGAAGGACGCGGGGAGGCAGCGGTGGGGTCAGTACTTCAGGAACATGAAGCGGTCCCGGGGGACCTCCAAGTCCGACAAGGACAGCATCCAGGAGGAGGGGCCCGACAGCGACGCCGAGGTCTCCTTCACAGGTCGGTCCCCGGAGCCCCGTTCCCAGCCGGGGCTCTGCCGAGGGCGGTCTGTGCCCTCCCTGCAAGGCTGCTGTCCGTGTCAGGGCTGCTTTCACACACACACCCCCCCCCCCCCGCGGCTACGTTAATATTTTTCCACACAAAAATAACTTTTTTCCGGGGGGGCTGTGTCAGGTCCAAAAAGGTGCAGGGAGAGTTCCCCGGGCGGGCGCTGCGGCTGCTAGAGCCGCTGCTCGTATACAGCCTTTTCAAGGGACTCTTGGAAATACAGAAACCGGAGAGTCCGGAATCGCTGAACGTTTCTATGGGGAAAAGTACGTAGAATTTATTTTTCATCCGATTTAGGGGTGGTTGTATTTGCGTAGTTACTAGTTAGGACTCCCCTGCCGGCTCTGTGGGAGCCGTTACCTCCCCACTCTGCTGCAGAAGGGAGGTTGCTGCCTGTCGGGAGGTTTCTGCACCGGAGGGTCCCGTTTTCGGAGCAGAGATTTCTGTTGACAAACCCAGGGACATGCCCACACTAGCTCTTGTCCTGCGTAGCCTCGTCCCGCACTCTCCAGACCCAGGGCATCTGCCGTAGGAGCAGGATAGGGCCCTGTGCCGGGCTGGGGGGGGGCTGGGTGCCCGCCGCGCCGCTCGGGGGCACATTCTGCACGGCCCCAACTCCAGCCGGGCGCTGCCCCAGCGCCAAACGGTCTCTGCCGACGTGACCTGGTCTGTGCTACCGCAGTGCCCAAATGTGCCTCTCTGTGTGGTTTTTAGGAATACAGGAGAGAAGCTGAAATGCAAAACTCTGTGTACATATTTACACAGACGTATCTCTATAACGCGTGTATGTTTGTACGCGCAGGGATTTGCATCTCAGCTTCTCTCCTGTGTTCCTAAAAACCGTTTGATTTCCAAGCCTGTTTGTACACACTGTGCATCAGCGTCATAAAATATGAATATACTATAAATAATAACTAAAAAACGTTGAACAATTATTGATAGCTTGATGCCACAAACAGGTTTGTATCCTAGGCAACAGAGCAGCTCTTGCTGTCCATAAAGCCCCTAACGAATGCAAACAATTTTTACTGGTAACTTAAAAAATACTGCCCATTCTTCAGAAGTGTTTTTAAGTCGTACAGGTACATTTCATTAGCCTGTTCCTGAGCAGACAAATACTGCTGAGATTTAATTTTTTTTTCTGAGCAATGGAGAGCTTTTCTTGCATTCCGTGAGTGTTCAGGTAGCTCCTAAAAATGATATCAAAATTCAAGATAAACCTCAAAGCCAAATAGAAATGCAGAACAAAAGGTGGAAAGACATTGAAATCGCATTCCCCTTTAAAGGATTATTTTAAAATCACAGTCTTATATTTTACTATGTACTTTTCATGCATATTTTTAAAATCCAAAATGTATTAGATGTTTGTACTTAGAAAAAATAATAATCCCGTGGCCTTCTATGAAGATCTGTCAACAAGGATGGGAATAATGAGGAATTACGAGTGGCAAGTGCGTGGCTGCTCAGCTCCCATCCCTCTAATCTGTTTATACCCAGAGCTTGCAGGAGTTCCCGTGCGACCGCTGCCAGCCGTGACCATTGCTCTCCCAGTAAAACCAGTCCATTTCCCTTTCAGATGAGCCCTCTATGTCTGAAATGAGCCATTCCAATGGGATTTACAGCAATCTCAATGAAGCGTCCCCTGCTCTGGGGAGACAGGCTGGGACCAACGGGAGCTTTGCTCTGGATCACAGCGGCATCCCAGCTCAGGACCAGTACCACGACCTGCGATCCAACAGCCCCTACGGGATACCCCAGTCACCGGCTTCCTTGCAAGCGCTGCCAGGCCACCAGCCTTTAATCTCCAGCTTGGTTTACCCAGACAACGGCTTGGGCATCATGGGACAAAGCGGACAAGGGGTGCCCCAGTCCATGAGGGTCCTGGCCGGGAACGGACCCAGCTCCGACCTCTCCACCGGCAGCAGCGGGGGATACCCGGATTTCCCTGCCAGCCCGGCCTCTTGGCTGGATGAAGTCGACCACGCTCAATTTTGATACAGGGTCCACCACCGTGCAGTGGGAAGGGAAAGGACTCGGTGCTGTTAAACGTCATCTACTCTCGGAAACGAAGGAGGGACAAACTGTGACTGCTGAGCGGGGCAGGAAAGCGTGACGACACGGAGAGAGCGGACGGGGTTTCGGAGGGCGACCCAGCGGCGGGTTGGCAGAGGACGGTGGGCAAAGGCAGTCGCACCGCAGTGATGAGCATACGGAGCGCCCAAACGAAACCGGTTGTTGTGTCTTTACTAAACACCAAGACTTGTGCTTTACAGATTTGATATAAGGTATTTTGCTTTCTGTTGTCAGTGCATTCTCCAAAGCAAGGACTTGCTTCATCACCCATCCACGCCGAAAGCTTTTTAAGAGAAAATAAAGTCCTCATCCACTGTAAAAGGTGTGACAATGTCTATATTTCTATAGGAGAAATGTTAATAGTGAATCACTTCAGAAATCCATGGTAGAAAACTTCTCTGTTCTTCCAGCAGATTTTTTAAAAAGCGCACCGATGCGGTATGTTTTGTTTTATTTTGAATTTACATTAACTTTTCTAAAATGAAATGCTCTTTAATATGCCAATCATTTATCAACATCCCTTTTCCTTTGTAAAATGAAAATCATATGTTAATTCCGCTTCTCATCTTTTTAATTTGTAGATTGCTAGGTTTATTCTTCCATATAAGCATTAAACCGTGAATAGATGTATTTATTACCAAATAACTACACTTTCATCACGAGGTCAAGAGGTGATCTTTCTTGACCCAGGAACACTAGCGGCTCTGGGTTGTGAATCTTATGCTTTTCTTTCAAATTCCTTTGCAACAGTTTTACTGCAAAGTGTCTCAAACACCACCCTGATGTCTTGTTGCCAAATACCTTCTCGGGGGGGTCTCTCAGCAGGAGGTCTCGGCTGGTTTAGTTCAAGCCGTTCTCCCGGCACCGCTGGGAGCGTGTCGGAGCGAGCACACGCTTTCCTGGTGACCCTTCTCTGTTTCAGGCATTTGTGTATTTACGCAGATATAGCGCGAGCTGATTGTGAGGAAAGGCAAGACAATATGTATATTGTTATCTGTAAAAACTATCGAATTAACTGTAGATTATGTGAATGTCCAGTGTCTTTTATTTATATTCTCGCTTTCTCTCTGATGATCAAATACTTCAAGATTACAAATAAATTTGTCAGCTAAACTTTAAATAGTCTTTTGCTAAATTCACATCAAAAGCATCGATATAGGTAAGTACAATACCTGAAACTAAAAGGAAAAGCCCCCAAAACTCAATGCCATGATTCAACAAAGTGTTGAAATGCATTCTTCCCTTTAGCTACAGGAGCAACCCCACCGACGTAAGAATGCTTTGATAAACTGAAACAAAAAAATGACAGTTTTGGAGGCTGGCAATCCTTGGGAGATCCAAGCGATGTTGCTCTATGCACGCACAGGCTTTGATCGCAGTCAAGCTATTTATGACGGGTCATGGTTATTTTTCAGCACTCATTGCAAAAGCAGAAATATGTAAAGCAGAAATCTGTGCTGATGAAGCAGTAGAAAATAGCAGAGTCTGATATTGTCTGTCAGCGGACAGAAAGTTGTGCACATGAAACACTAAAAGTCAGACATTGGAATGTTTCGGAAGAGAAATCAGAAAGAAAAGAAAAAAACTCTAAGGAATTAAGCTTGACCAAACATATGCAGCCTGTGTTTGTGTACGCACACCCGAGAGGCGCGTGCACACACGTATCTTCATATACAAAGGTCTGTGGTCACGCTCCTCAAAGCAGAGTGAAGCACTTTGCCGAAGTCTCTGATTTAAAAATCAGATGGGAAACACTATTTAAGGCACATGGGCTTCGAGCCTCTCACTCCCCTGGGAAGTTGGGGGATATTTGTACCGGGGTCTGCAGTGTATCAAGCACCTTTGAGAGCGTGTGGATTTGAGACCAGCAGCACACTTCGGCAGGGAGGCAGCGCCGGGGTCGTCCCGCGCTCTGCAGGGGACCCCACGGGAGGAGCTGTGCTGTCCCCGGGCGGCTGCCAGCGCCCCGGCACGGCGCGCGTTGCCCCGGGGACTCGCCAGATGTCAGGCGGCGACACCTGGAAAGCCCAGGCTTTCATCCTTACCTTTTCTAAAGGACACACCGCCACTGCTGGAACAGGGTGACGTGTCGTTGTCTCCGGCCTCTCGCTGTAATCGCCCTCGCTGTTTCGCAGCTGCGGGGGGACGTGTGCTTGGCATAACGCGCGGCTCTCGCTCCCTGCTTTCCGCCTGCTCTGGCCTTCGCTTGGCGAGGGTGGGACACTGGCGTCTCCGGAAGCGAGCAGGTATTGACAATATTTGCAGAAACATTTAGGTTTGCAAAATACTTGTTAGCCACCAGCGCTGCGTAAGCCTCTTTACAGCTTTTCCCCCTCCTGTTACACATGCATTGCACCTGAGGAGAAGAAACATGGCCGGGTTCTGCTCTCAGTGAGCTAACAGAAGCCTGCCCAAAGCAAAACGGGTACGTGCACACTGCCTTAGTGCTGCAACGTTCGCTCAACAGAGAAACTCACTCTTTTTTTCAGGAGACCCGGTCCAAGAGCAGGGAAGGGAGAAGCCCCGCTGCGTGACACCATGGGGCTTTTAGTGTAAAAACACCACACCAGCTTGGAGCTGGGGGTGATATGTGCAGATTTGCTCGTGTGTCTGCTCCTGGGGGATTTTTCAGATGGGTGAAGCTGTGCCTCCTGCAGCCAAGGCAGAAATTTGCCTCATTCGGGTCTGAGATCTCAGGTCTGAGCCCTCGAGTCTGAGCCCAGGGCTGGGCTCGGCAGCAAGAGTCTGGAGCTGCTTCTTCTTCCTTCTCCAGGACTGAGTGATAAAGAGACAACTGTTGCTGCTAGCCCGTAGGTACATTGCAAGGTCATTTCTTACTGAAATTTACAGAGTAATTGGAAAATTGTGGGACTTTAAAAAACTGTTTTACAGAACTGCACCCAAAGAGAAAACAAGATTTCATTTTCAAGAATTCTGTGATTTCTGCTCTCTTGCCCTATGATCTAGAAACACCCTCACCAAATCTGGCTCTTTTGCATCAAAACATTTTGGCAGTTGAAGCATAAATAATATTTTCCTATAAAAGACTAAAAACAACTCTGAAATACTTTTATTTCCTAAAAAAGAAAGAAATAAGAACAGAAAGACAGAAATGTAGTTGATTTTAGGATAATGCTGCTGTTATAAAACCACTGTCTAGAAACTGTAGTAATTGAACACGTATTTTATAGATCTTTTTTTCATCGTTTCCCTCCCAGCAAATAACGGGCACTGTTGTTCCTCTCACTCTGGGAATTCCCAGCGCATGGCTGAATTTAAGAAAGGAATAAATGCAAATTTCCCCCTCTGCCTTTGTGCTTTGCTCTGAAAGGCAGAACGGGCTGAAAGTTGCCGGCGCTTGTGCTCGTCTGAACACGGAGAAGAGTTCCCCGAACGTCCTGATATAAAATTCAGGGATTGCATTTCAGCCTCTCCTTTCAGGGCTGAGGCTCAGGGATTCCATTAATATAAATGTTTTCTTCCCGTTAAAAAGAAAACCAATTTGAAAGAGGCAAATAAAACTAACACTATCCAATTGACTGACAGCTTGTAAAACCCAAACAGAATTAGGAAGAGGGGTTTCGCATTGCTCAATTTGCAGGTGAGCTTTACAGCCTCCGCTGATTCGCGAGAGTGCGTGACATGGGAGGCAGGAAATTTTTTGTGCTCTCAGTGAGGAAAATCTAACGTATGAATCTTTTTTTCCAAACAGCATATTCATCTTTTAGAAGCAGTTGTGCCTAAACTTGCATTCCCTACAGATGCGGGGAATGATTAGATGCTGTGTCAAACAGAAGTAACTTATTTTTTTTCTTATTCTAATTTCCTCTATGGGGCCAAAGAAAGCAAACCCCTCATGCTAGGAGGGATAGACACCACCTTACTGTTAAATGTTTTCTGCAATTTCTGCGGGGGTGTCAGCTCTGCAAGGGAACTTGTTTACTGCAGCGGCCGAGGCTGCCGGCGCTTGCAGTGGGCAGTAACCCAACGCCTTTGAACCCGTCAGGGAGCAGGGAGGCCAGCGGGAGCCGTGTGCCGGGAGGGCGGCTAATCTGCCCGGCTCCGCTCGCACAGCTTCTACGGGAGCTACAACTTGAGGAGCTGGTGCGAGCCGAGCCCAACAGGGGCCGGAGCACGGGGGTTTTGTCCAGCCTGAACCAGGGGAATGAGGTGGCGAAAGGGGGGTTGTCCCCAGCTGGGGTCCTAGGGCTGGCCTGGGGACAGCCCTCTTCCCCAGGGCGCAGGGCTTGGGGACCTTAGTGCCCTTTTGGGGACATTAGTGCCCCTTTGGGGACGTGGGCTAGGTGAAACCCCTCACTCACGGGGAGCAGGGAAGGTGGCTGGGGCCAGGTCATCCTCGGGGTCCCCTCCAGTGGCTTCTCCCAGATGTGTCGGGGCGTCTGAACAAAGGTGCGCTCGCTGCCCTGCGCATCCCGCCTTGCCTCTCCCTGCCCGCACCAAGGTCTATGGGAAGAAGGCAGGAAAGCGGAGACCTGTGTGATTTATACACTGAAATAACGTTTAAAAGCAGCAAATGACTTTGTTAAAACCTGACAAGAAAACCAAGCTCGCAAAAATATGCCAAGAAAAAAAGCAAAGGTGTTTAATTTTTTTTTTTTTCCCTTTCTGACATCTTTATTATGTGTCTAGGTGGGAGAGCATTTTGCACTAAACCACACGTGCAGGCGTGTTTGTTGGCACACGGGTGTAGTGGATAAGGAACAGAGCCTGGGGAAAACGTTGATTTAGGATGCAGAAAGCATCCTAAAAGCATCCAAAAGCAGAAAGCACTGCTTTTGTGCTCAGCATTTTGCAATCTGGGGATGAAAAATAATCTGTTAGCCAAATATGCAAGGCTTCTGGATTTAAATGAACTTTTCCATGTTAGAACACAGACAGTTTCTGCACATTATTTCTCTTGCAGGGCA